GTGGATGAGAGTCTGCCTGCCTATGCAGGGGACACGGGTTCGTGCCCCGGTCCGGGAAGATCCCACAGGCTGCGGAGCGGCTGGGCCCATGAGCCATGGCCGCTGAGCCTGCGCATCCAGAGCCTGTGCTCCGCAACGGGAGAGGCCACAACATTGAGAGGCCCGTGTACTGCAAAAAAAAAAACTAAAAATTAAAAAAAAGAGTGTAATAGGCCACACTGGGCATAAGATTAATTTAAAAGGACGGAAGGCCAGGAAAAAGAGCATGCCAACAGCACAGCGCCAGGCTTTTGTTTTCCCTGGGAATACTCACAGCAGTCTCGGGGCTGGTCTTTGGACCCTCAAATGATAGCTCCAATGTGAAAGAATGAGACTACCATGGACAGATCCAATAGCCACCCTAGCTTAGAAGCCATGTCCCAAACAGAAACCAATACCCCTTGTGATAGTCTCAGCTTCTAGGGCCCTGAAAAGGACAGGCCTGGTTATGAATTTTTTCACTCAGGGAAGCCCAAAGCTATAGTCCTTTCAGTGCAGACTCAACTTACCATTCAAATGTCATTTTATCATATTCTCGTTTTACTACAGCAGTGTTACCTATTAACATGGCTGACATTCCACCTTCATCAGATTTCCAAGGAACAGAGCTAAAAGCAGCTTAACCCAAGGCCAATTTCCCATGTAAAAGAGAAAAGGGTTTTGTTGAACCTTTCCTCACATGCACAGTGAATCTTAATCTCAGTATTCGACTCCCCAAAATGGTACAAGCAAGAAACTAGAAATGAATTTGGACAAATCCATGAACAGGCTGGCTAGAAATGGCTTTTTATTTTATTTTTTATTTTTAAATTTTTTTTGGCTGCACTGCACGGCTTGCAGGATCTTAGTTGACTACCTTGTTGTCAAAAAGCATCTAGCCAACAGAAAAAGGTAGAAATAAGCTCTGATGGATGTCCCTTGGGCATTCATTTGTTTCATAATCTTGTTACCACTACTTATCAATTTTAAAAGGAGGAACTTTTCCCATTAAACAAGAAGGACATGGGGCCAGAGAAGAAATATTTGAGAAGCAGCTTGAGGATGCTCTCACACATCCTAAATATCAACAAATCTACACGGGAGTACTGGTTCATAATGGTGAGAATTTAATTAAAGAATATAAATGTCAAGTCTAACTCTAAGATATAAACATGCTCATTTGAAATGATGTTTCTGCTTTATCCTAACTGCAAAGATGACAATAGTACCCAGCTGCCCCAGTTCTGTTAATGAAATTTAAATAATACTGATAGTAGTTTAGGAAAATGACAAGAGTGTGTGTGGCAAAGTAATTTGCTATAGCTGCAACCATTAGGTATATAGTTGAGGCGACTTAAGGAAAGCTTCTGAAAACGCTAATTAAATTGACAGCAAAGAGGGTTTTTTGTTTTGTTTTGTTTGGTTTTTAACATATTTATTGGAGTATAATGGCTTTACATGGTTGTGTTAGTTTCTGCTATATAACAAAGTGAATCAGCTATACGTATACATATATTCCCATAGCCCCTCCCTCTTGTGTCTCCCTCCCACCCTCCCTATCCCACCCCTCTAGGTGGTCACAAAGCACCTAGCTGATCTCCCTGTGCCATGTGGCTGCTTCCCACTAGCTATCTGTTTTACATTTGGTAGTGTACATAGGTCCATGCCACTCTCTCTCTCACTTCGTTCCAGCTTACCCTTCCCCCTCCAATGTCCTCAAGTCCATTCTCTACAACTGCGTCTTTATTCCTGTCCTGCCCCTAGGTTCTTCAGAACCTTTTTTTTTTTTTTTAAGATTCCATATATATGTGTTAGCATATGGTATTTTCTCTTTCTGACTTACTTTACTCTGTATGACAGACTCTAGGCCCATCCACCTCACTACAAGTAACTCAATTTCGTTTCTTTTTATTGCTGAGTAATATTCCATTGTATATATGTGCCACATCTTTATCCATTCATCTGTCGATGGACACTTAGGTTCCTTCCATTTCCTTGCTATTGTAAACAGAGCTGCAATGAACATTGTGGTACACGACTGTTTTGGAATTATGGTTTTCTCAGGGTATATGCACAGTAGTGGGATTGCTGGGTCATATGGTAGTTCTATTTTTAGTTTTTTAAGGAACCTCCATGCTGTTCTCCATAGTGGCTGTATCAATTTACATTCCCACCAACAGTGCAGGAGGGTTCCCTTTTCTCTACACCCTCTCCAGCATTTACTGTTTATAGATTTTTTGATGATGGCCATTATGACTGGTGTGAGGTGATACCTCACTGTAGTTTTGATTTGCATTTCTCTGATGATTAGTGATGTTGAGCATCCTTTCATGCTGACAGCAAAGAGTTTTAATTTTTATTTCTGTTTACCTGCAATCATTACACAGCAGTGATATGGAGCAAATCAATGAACAGATCTGCAACAGTATACATACTTGTAGTTAAACTCATGTAATTGTGTGGATTCCAGAGTATTCAGCAGTTTACAGAACTATGTGTTAAGAGTCTGGAATGGGAGCCTGGTTATAGTTCAAAGCTGATTTCAATTAAGTACTGAACAAGTACACAGGACTCTACTGGGATGAGCAAAAATTAACCTACTTGGGTAAACTGGCTTAATGAGAATGGATAGAGATGTTCTGAAGTATCTTAAATTTGATCAGAGTCCATGTGTCCATTTATGTATTGCTGTTATCCTGAAAGAAGACTGGGAGTTTTCACTTCAGAGGTCACTCTCACCCTCTCTTCCCCACTCCCAATTTTACCCAGCCTCTCTCTACCTCAGCTTTTAAAACCCTTACAGATGGGCTTACGGACCCCAGGCAGGAGCCTGGAGGACTCTTAATATGATGACACTGATCAGGCCAAAAATAAGACTTAGTGATATTGACAGGAGGGGGCTCAAAAGGAAATGGCCATCTAACGGGAGTTTCATAGAGAGGAAATAGCAGGAGACGGAGAGAGAGAGAGACAACTGGGAAGAAATAATTAAAATGAGTATTTGAAAGTTCTGAGCATGAGCCTCTAGACTCAAAGGACCCTCCAAGCGCCAAGTACAACTGACCGAGGCACAGCAAACCATGAAATTTCAGGACACAACAATAGGGAGATCCCCAAAACTTCCCAAGACAGCAGGTCATATGTAAAAAGAGAAGAAAAACATTTTCAGACATGAGAAACTAAAAAATAAAAAACCTACCTCACATACACCCTTTCCCCAGAAAGCTACTGTAGTATATGCTCCACCAACATGAAGCAGTAAACCAAGAAAGAAGAATTCACAGGAGCCAAGATCAACCAATGGAAACAGGTGAAGGAAATCCCCAGGAAGATGCTGCAGCTGGGCAGGAGAACCAGCGTACAACCTGGTTGGAGCTGGAAGCAGCTCTCCAAGAAAAGAATGGAACTGAGAATTTGATGTTTGACTATTTTGAGAGGAGTTTTAGAGTTACATCAGAAAGTCTGTACTTGTGTTAGTGACTGGATATTTGCAAAACATAACCAAGAAAGGCCTAGAATCCAGAACATACAAAGAATCTACACAAAGATAAATAACTCAGTAGAAAAAACTGGCAAAAGACTTGAACTAGCTTCAGAAAAGAGGAAATCCAAATTAACACTATAATGAGATGTTACTATAAAACTGACCAAACTGGGCTTTCCTGGTGGCGCAGTGGTTGAGGGTCTGCCTGCCGATGCAGGGAGCGCGGGTTCATGCCCCGGTCTGGGAGGGTCCCACATGCCGCGGAGCGGCTGGGCCCGTGAGCCATGGCCGCTGAGCCTGCGCGTCTGGAGCCTGTGCTCCACAACGGGAGAGGCCACAACAGTGAGAGGCCCGTGTACCGCAAAAAAAGACCCCCAAAACCCCCCAAAATCTTATACACCACCAGTTGAAGAGTAAAATGACAGCACTCCAAGGGAAACGGTTTGGTACGATACATGTTATGCAGCGAATCCACTATGAGGTGTACACCCTGGAGGAAGGCGTGTACATGTACTTACTTATGATGGAAATTATATATTCATACTTGTGCAATAATTTAATTATTAAAAATCTTCCTAAATGTAAGTAACACAAGGACAGGGATAGTGGCTCTTCTGTTTCCTCTTGTGCGTTATGAATCTGATTAGGTATGCAAGAAATTTTTGTGGAATCAAACTGAACTGGGAAACACTAATACAACAATAGAAAGTTTAGCAGAAAAATCTTTTTAAAAAGGACAGGACGTGACAGTTCACAGACCTGTGAAGAATGTTCAATCACACTAATAATGAAAGAAATAAAAATTAAAAACAATAATGAAATACCATTTTTGATATAAAAGGACAAAATTAAAATAATTATAATAAAGCTGTAAAAGTATAGTGAGATACATCCTCTCATACATCACTTGCAGAAGTATGAGATGACACACAGATGCATTAATTGTACAGTATTTCTGGAAAGCAATTTGACATGGGTTGAGTCTTGAAAATACTGATCCCTCTGACAGCAAAAACTAGTACAATTCCAGTTTTAAGACTACTTCAAAAATAGAACTAAAAAAGGTGAGATACGATGTATTTACAAACTGATAATTATAAATTAATACAAAATATGAGAACTAAATGAGCAATAATGGGATAAGAGTCAATATATTTTAGGACCTCCATAATACAGGTTATACAAATACTAAAATGGGAGATTTTCAAAGATTTGATGATATCACAGAAAAATGTTAATAATGGTAAGTAAAAATGGCAGAATACAGAACTATATAAAGTATGATCTCAATTCTACTAAATATATATGCGTGTATATATATGTCTGTATATAATACATACACATACGGAAGGTGACAATTGTTATAGCAGAAGAGACAGCAAATAGAGTTAACGTTCAAGAGACTAATTATTGCAGTTTTTTTTATCAAGGTTTGTTAAACTTTCTCTACTTTAATATTTAAAAAAGAATCATAATAAATATCTCCATTTACACTTACCAGATCAATATTTTGCATGATATCCTGAAATGAAGGATGTGTTCGAAATTGTTCAAAGAGATCTCGTTTGTAAAGAAGTGCATACACCAAATTTGGATTGTGATGAAGAGAATTTGTCAGGCAGGAGTTGATGATCTCCAACATCATTCGAATCACTTCTTCGATCACATTTAGGTCTTGTGCCTGATAAAGAAAGAAAATCCCCATATAGAGTCTGTGTGTTTTTCCTTGACACAGAATTAATTAGAATGAGGGCAACTGCTTTGCAATTCAAACAGCATTGGAAAGATCATGCAAAAGAGCTCTTCAAGATTACTTCTGTCAAGAATTTTTACAATTAAGTTTATCAGTTACTAAAGGATTTAAAATCTTTTGAACTTAGTATGGTGATAATTATAAATTTCACATGATAAATTATAGACTTGCCCATCTAGAAGGAAATTTGGAGCTTATTCAGTCCTTTGATTAATAGATCCTAATTTGTACTCTTATCACTGTATCACCCTAAATCATTAGACTTGCACAGTACTAAGTGGTGGTAGGGTCTTACCAATTCCAAGAAAAGTGTCTAATTCAGAATATGACCTCATTTTTCTGCACTGTCATTTCAACGTCCATATTTACAGATGAAGAGCCTACTGTTTTGTTTCTGCTTCCTCAGAGTCAATAGCCTCTGGGAATCTGAATGTGAAATAGTTATAAGAGCAAAACTCAAAGTAAGTAATCAATATCTCTCTTGAAAGAGAACAATGGAAAGCAAAAACACAGGTGAATACAACACTTTCCTTCTCCTCTTGAGTTTTCTAAATTATGTTTGACAGCTAAAGCAGAAATTATAATGTCTGATGTGGTTCTCAATGGATGTAAAGGAACACCTAAGACAATTACATTATAAACCAGGGAGAGCAAAGGGATTTAAAGAGGGGAAGGTTTCTACATCTCACTTGAACCGGTAAAATGTCAACACGACTAGACTGTGGTAAGTTATGTATGTAAATGCCTAGAGTGAATTTATACAAGGAGATAGTATACACAAAAATACTACTGATATGTCAAAATGGAATTCTAAAAAAATGTTCAAGTATCCACAGGAAGGCAGTCAAATAAGACAGATGAGAAACAAGGGACAAACAGAAAGCAGAAAGTAAAATGGCAGACTTAAGTTCTAACATATCAGTTATTACATTAATTGTATACAGTATAAATACAATAATTAAAACCCAAAGAATGGCAGAGTGGATAAAAAAACACATGACCCAACTATATGCAATCTATAAGAAACTTCAAATATAAAACTCATTTTAAATAAAGTTAGATACAAAGTAAAAGAATGGAAAAAGATATAACATGCAAATATTAATCTAAAGAAAGTAGGGATGGCTATATTAATATCTGATAAAGTACACTTCACTTCAAAGACTGTACGGCCTACAAAATAAAAAATACTAGCTGGTGCCTTACAGAAAAGTTTACCACCCCTGGTCTAGCAGACAAAAAGGTATACTTATTTCCATACAATTTACCTCCACCTATATTGTTTTAACCATAATGTCCAGCATTCAATCAAAATTTATGAGATAAACAAAAAGCAAGTAAAAACAATCCATGTCCAAGAGACAAAGTAATCAGCAGACTCAAGAGATACACAGATATCGAAAATATCAAATAGGGAATTTAAAAGAATTATGATATACAAAATCTACTATGAGTCTATAATATGCTTGCATTGATGGGGAATTTTAGCAGAGTTGAAAACTATAAGAGGGAACTTCTCTGGTGGTGCAGTGGTCAAGAATCTGCCTGCCAATGCAGGAGACATGGGTTCGAGCCCTGGTCTGGGAAGATCTCACATGCCACAGAGTAACTAAGCTTGTGTGCCACAACTACTGAAGCCTGTGTGCTCTAGGGCTCATGTGCTACAACTACTGAGCCCACTTGCTGCAACTACTGAAGCCCGTGCACCTACAGCCCATACTCCACAACAAGAGAAGCCACCACAGTGAGAAGCCTGTGCACCGCAACGAAGAGTAGCCCCCACTCGCGACAACTAGAGAAAGCTCACATGCAGCAACGAAGACCCCATGTGGACAAAAACAAAATTTAAAAATCACAAAAAAAACCAACTATAAGAAAGTAACACGTGGAAATGTTAGAATTAAAAAAAAAAAAGGTAATAGCAGTAAAGAATATCTAGATAGGTTCAACAGTAGACTTGAAAGAATCTTTTAGAGATAATGGCTGAGCATTTTTTTTAAATAACAAAAGAATCAAATAACAGATCCAAGAAGCTCAGAATAACTCCAAAGTATTCCCTAAACTACCCCCGCCCCACCCATACGAGAAAAAAACCACACAACTAGATGCATCATATTCAAACTACTGAAGACCAAAGAGAAAGAGAAAATCTTGAAGGCAGCCCAAGATAAAAACAGATTAAATACAGAGGCACAAAGCTAAGAATTACAGTAGACTCCTCAGGAGAAATTATGCAAGCCAATCTAAATGGAGCAGCATCAATAAAGTGTTGAAAAAAGAGTCAAGCAAGAATTCTATCACTAGCAAAAATATCTTTCAAATAGGAAGGTAAGATAAATACTTTCTCAGACTAAAAAAAGTTGAGATAATGTATTACTTGTACACCCACACTGTAAGAAATGTTAAAGGAATTTCTTCAGACAGGAGGAATATGAAACTAGACAGAACTGTAGATCTACACAAGGAAATAAAGACATTTTTATTTTAAGTCATTGTAAAAGAAAACTGATTTCAGAAACAAAACAGTAACAATGTATTATAGGTTTATAGTACATGTAAAATATGTAAAATTTATCAAAATGTCCTTCTACTAATGGGCATCCAATTTATTTTGTTTCCTTGTTTCCATAAACAAGGCTGCAATAAGCATCCTGGTAGATCTGTTCTTATATATGGGCACTTTTGTTTCTCTGGGAGAGATTCCAGGAGAGGGATGGCTGAAAAAGTTGTTTGTAATGTTAATAGATGTTGCCAGACATTGCTTAAGGAGCTATAACAACCCATTTACAATGACAATGTACGAAAGCTCCTGCTCTCATTTTCTCACCAACAAGTGTAACTGTTCTTTTTAATATTCACTGCCTGAAAGAGTCATCAGTTTTTAATAACATTATATCACAATTTCCCGTAGTGATTAAGTATTTATCAGTTCCTCTGAATGACTCTTGTATTCAAAGTGACTGTACGTTCATGATTGGCCTATTTTTAAAAACGTTATCATTATGTATTGCTTCTCTTTATTCATAAGTGTATGTTTTACTGATATTAATATTGCTGGGACTTCTCTGGTGGCGCAGTGGTTGAGAATCCACCCGCTAATGCAGGGGACACGGGTTCGATCCCTGGTCCGGGAAGATCCCACATGCCATGGACCTACTAAGCCTGTGCACCGCAACTGCTGAGCCTGCACTCTAGAGCCCTCGAGCCACAACTACTGAAACCTGTGGGCCCTAGAGCCCACGCACTGCACCTACTGAGCCCACGTGCCACAACTACTGAAGCCCGTGTGCTCTAGGGCCCGCGTGTCACAACTACTGAGCCCACGTGCTGCAACTACTGAAGCCCATGTTCTGCAACGAGAGAACCCACCGCAATGAGAAGCCCGTGTACCGCAACGAAGAGTAGCCCCTGCTCGCTGCAACTAGAGAAAGCCTGTGTGCAGCAATGAAGACCCAATGCAGCCCCCCTCCAAAAGAAATATATATATATATATATATATATATATATATGTATATATTGCTATACCATCTTTATTTTGTTTAGCATTTGCTAGGTATATCTTTAATTTTCAAACTTTCTGTGTTACTGAAAACAAATACGGTTAAAAGCAACTATGCTGCTAGGCTTTATAATTTTTAAATCTAATCTAATAGTCTGACTTTTGAGTTTAATTCACTTACATTGTTATTACTGATATCTTTGGAATTTATTCCAACCATCTTGTTTTGTGACTTTGTATCAGTAATCTATTGCTGTATAACTAACTACAGGCATACCTCATTTTACTGCACTTCACAGATAACTGTGTTTTTTTTACAAATTGAAGGTTTGTGGCAACCCTGCATTGTCAGATGACGGTTAGCAGTTTTTAGCAATAAAGTAATTTTTAATTAAGATATGCTCATTTGTTTTTTTAGACAGTATGTTATTGCATACATAATAGACTTAGTGTAAACATAACTTTTATATGCACTGGGAAACCAAAAGATTTGTGACACACTGTATTGTGATATTTGCTTTATTGCGGTGGTTTAGAACCGAACCTGAAATTATCTCCAAGGTATGCCTGCTCTTCGAAGCTTAGCAGCTTAGAACAGCAATAATCATTTGTTTTGCTAACAATTTGGGCTGGCCTTGGTGGGAACAGTTTGTCTCTGCTCCATACGCTTCACATGGGGCTGCTTGAGTGGCGGTTGGAGAATCTACTTTTATGACAGCTCTCTATCGTAATATGGCTGGCAAGTTGGTGCTGGCTGTGAGCTGGGGGCACAGCTGTGGGTGGGGACCAGAGCCTTTGATTCTTGTTTGCATGGTCTCTTCTGGGCTGCATGAGCTTCCTCACAGGTTGAAGGTTCCAGGAGATTCAATGTTGGAAATCACTTACTGTCACTGCCATTTAGTGTTACTACCAAATGGTGCCACACACAATTTATTGAGGAGTGGCAAAGTTCTAGAAGAGCACGTGAAGCAGAAGATGTTGTGGCCGTCATCTCTGGAATGTATAACCTGCCATATTTTTTTGCCATCCTTTATAAGTTTACCTCTTCCAAACCTGTCTTCCCTTTCCAGCTTCTGTTGAATTAATAAAGCTTTTTGTTATCCTGGCCCCTCCTTTTCCTCTCTGCTGGTTTACAGGCTAAAGATAGCATTTCTATTCTTACAGGGGTAGCCCTTAAAATTTTAACATACACATCCAACTTTAAAAATACTGCTGTCTACCTCCTGAACAAGATCTAAGGAGGTTAACATACTTTCACTGCTCCTTGAACAGCAAGCCCCTGACCCCATTCTTCCTTGTTTTGTTACAGTAGCTTAGATTTTTAATTTCATCTTTTAAAAAACCCCATAAATTTTTTTTTTTTTTTTTTTTTTTTTTGCGGTACGCGGGCCTCTCATTGTTGTGGCCTCTTCCATTGTGGAGCACAGGC